TATGCAGGATGCACTGGAAGAATCTGAAGGGGAAAAAATGATAAACTCGGCCCTTGGAATTTTCAGTCCAAGGAATACTCAGAGAACCACAGAAGTTCAGCTTGCCCTCAAGAAATCTCTTCTTTCTTCTACCCAAACAATTGCAATATTTTCCAATTTATGTGGGCAGAAACTTGGGGTTAGAACTTGGGTTAAAAACTAAACTGCCAGGGTTCAGCTCAGGGAGGATGTAATTTACTATTGGAACAATCACAACATATACACATGGATGCAGTGACCAGATTCTGGCTTCGATTTTTTCCACTTATGCATTGTAGCATAGCAAATCGCCCCAAAACATACTGGTTTAAAACAATAATTTATTATTATCTCTCCCACATTTGTGGTCTTACTGGACTCATACAGGTGATGTGTCATGTGGCTTCAGATTATGGCAAAGAGTTGAGTTTTCTGGAGAATCTACTGGGCTATTGTGAGCTGTGAACCACTGGGGGCCATCCTTAAAGACTAGTTATTGTTTCTGTCTCAGGGCCCAATGACTTACACACCTTCCAGATGGATGCTCTACTCACCTGGCACTTGACCTGGGATGGCTTGAAACAGCTGGTGCTGGACTGGATATCATTGTCTTCCCATGGCTACTTGAACTTCCTCAAATCATGTAGGCCTCATGATTGTGGAACCTAATGAATAGTGACTGGCTTCCATAAGAGTGAGCACTCAAGAAGGCTCAAGCAGAAGGTTCAAGGCATAATAGTTTCCAGCTTTGGAAATCAGGCAGCGTCACTTCTGCCACATTCTATTGTTCACAGAAATTTGAGCTACAGAAATAGACCAGATCCAAGGGGATGGGATTACATATGGGCATGGCTATTGTGAGTTGTAGACCATTGCGGGCCGTACTTGAAGACTAGTGTCTTAGTTATCTAAGACTGCTGTAACAGAAATACCACAAGTGGATGGCTTCAACAAACAGTAGTTTATTTTCTCACATTCTAGTAGGCTAGAAGTCCAAATTCAGGGCGTCAGCTCCAGGGGAAGGCTTTCTCTCTCTGTTGGCTCTGGAGGAAGGTTCTTGTCATCA